CAGGGGAGTGGCAGGCAGAGGGAGAAGCAGACCTCCTGCGGAGCAGGGAGCCTGATGCAGGACTCAATCCAGGACCCTGGGATCATGACCTGAGCCGAAGGCAGACACTCAACCGACGAAGCCACCCAGGCGTCCCTCTAATGGAAAATTTTAAAGAGGAAGTAAAAACTAATAGGGGCAAAACTGATAACTATAATTAATTAAGAGAGTATACTTTGCATGGTAACTGTACTTAACATATATAGATTTTTCAGTGTCAAGGAAGGAATGTTTTGTAATTATGTAGTTGGACTGATGCCATGATTTGTTCCTTTAGTTTATCAAATGACCTTTGATAGGTGGCAGAAGAGAGTGAATCTAGATATGAAAGGAAGAGAAGTAGTTAAGTCTTAAAAAGGCAAACTCTGAAAGGCAAACTGAATGACATCTAAAAATCTCAAGTGGAGGAATAGTTCATATATGAACAAGAGATAAAACGTTCTTGTTGCACAGAATGAAAAGGTGATTGCTGAGATTATCAGCATTATGGACATGATGTGGGCAGATAGAGGTAATTCAGTAATGAAGTCCATGGAGCTATATATGAAAGTAGCTTGGTGTATCAGTTTCCTGTGGCTGCTGTAACAAATTACCACCACACACTGAGTAGTCTAAAACAATAGGAATTTATTCTCTCTTAGTTATGGAAGCCAAAAGTCTATAATCAAGGAGTCAGCAGCACTGCACTTCCTCTGGAAGCTTTAGGGGAGAATCCATTTCCTGACACTTACAACTTCTGGAGACTGCTGGCATCCTTGGCTTGTGAATATATCTCTCTCTGATGCATCTTCACATCACCTTCTCCTCTATGTCCCTTCTCCACAGTGTCTCTCTTATAAAGATGCTCATGACTGGCTTTAGGACCCACCTAGACAATCTCCTCATCTCAAGATCTTTAACTCAGTTACATCTGCAGAGATCCTCTTTTTAAATAAGAACATTCCCAAGTTCTGAAGATTAGGATATGGACATATCTTTTTGGGGGCCACCAATCAGTCCGCTACACATGTGTTGATAAGGTATAGTCTACTTTCTGTTTTCGGGCTCTGATAATAGCCCTAGATCAAACTTCTGCTCATCTCTGAAACACAGAAGTCTTTACTTCAAACACACTATATCAAAGAGCCCATGTGGAGTGACATCATCAAGATGGTGACATAAATCATTTCCAACTTCAGTGCCTCTCACCAGAAGACCAACCAGCAACTATCCATAGACTTGACACCGTTGTGAAAATCCCAGACCCAAGGATATAAATGAAGCACCCCCATGGACCACAGAGACTGAGATGGGTCACATCAGAAAGGTAAGAGGAGAGGCTCTACTCTGCATCACCAGCCACCCAACCCAGGCCAGCATTACACTACACCACAGAGCACCTGGTTTTTCCAGTGGAAAAAGGAGAGTCCAAGGTAGACATTCAGTTTCCCCAGTATTGCAGGATGCTCCTCAGAAACCCCACTACAGGAATCAAAACAGATGGTACTGCAATTTAAAAAAACAAAAACACACCAATAGAACTAACTGAAAGCCCAGAAACAAATCCATGCATATACAGTCAACTAATATTTGACAAGAAAGCCAAGACTCTTCAATGGGGAAATGACAGTCTCTTCAATATATGGTGCTGGGAAAAATGGATAGTCACATGCAAAAGAATAAAACTGGGCCTCTATCTCTCCCCATTCACAAAAATTAACTCAAAATGGATTAAAGACTTAAATGTTAGGCCTGAATCTATAAAACTCCTAGAAGAAAACAGGATAAAAGCTCCTCGACATTGGTTTTAGCAATGACTTCATGAATATGACACCAACAGCATAAGCAACAAAAACAAAAAGAAACAAGCGAGACTACATCAAACTGATGGCCAACAGGTACGTGAAACAGTGCTCAACATCACTCATCATCAGGGAAATGAAAATGAAAACCACAATGAGCTATCACCTCACACCTGTTAGAATGGCCATCATCAAAAAGACAAGAGATAACAGTGTTGGCGAGGATGTAGAGAAGAGAACCCTTGTGCATTTTGGTGGGAATGTGAATTGGTGTAGCCACCATGGAAAACAGTATGGAGATTCTTTTAAAAATTAAAAACAGAACTACCATACAATAGGGCTTAAATGTAATCACAAGGTTCTTATAAAAGGGAAGCAAGAAGGTCGAAGGAAAGACAAGGCAGTATGAGAGAGGAAGCAATGGAGAAAAGACAACGCGATTCAGGGTCCCAAACCAAGGAATGAAGACAGCCTCCAGAAGACAGAAAAAGCAAGGAACAGATTCTTCCCTAAAACCTCCTGGCAAAAACCAGTCCTGACAAACCTTGATCTTAGGACCTAAGTTTCATTTTGAACTTCTAATCTCCCAAACTTTAAAATAAATTTGAATTGTTTTAAGACACTATGTTTGCCGTATAGCAGCAACAGGAAACAACAACAACCAACAAAGCTAGTATATAATATTCAAAACTTAGAACACATCAAGGGCTCTCTGAGATACTTAATATATGTAATATTTATAACTGCCTTAACAATGCTGTATGGACAAAAAAATAAGTCAGGAATTCAACAAGTTTAAAAGTTAGATCAGGCAAAGAAAAAAAATCCATAGGTTAAATTTTGTTACAGTCTTCGAGCATTTCAAGTTTCTGTGTTTGCTCTGTTACTTGACTCCTTCTAGGTAATGTCACCAGGTTTAAAAAAAAAAAAAAACACCTAAAAAGCCAAGTTATTTCTTCCCAAAGGGCATATTTACATATAATAGTGGCAAATTTGGATGAGATAGGACCCAGGGTAAAACTCTCCAAAGACTACCCAGTTAGTTCTCGATATTCGCCTTGACCAAGATGCATCTGCCCAAACATGCAAACTCTGAGTGTGGTTAAGTGCAGGGAATCAGTATGATTAGGAAATAAAATTTCTGGAGATCAATGAATGACTGCTAAGACTTACAAAAGGAAAAAGTGACCATGGAAAGTTTTGTTTTTTGAAAGTAAGTTCATAAGACTAGAAGCTGGCATAGAAAAGTGTGCAATGATAATGAGGAACGAGGTGCTGCTGAAAACTCCAGGGCACCCCTGGGATTATGAAAGTCTAAAGAAGAATGCCAATTCACAGCTTTTTATGGAAAAGTTTTAAGGCCCTATGAGGAAATGATGCTGCCATGCATTTCTGCACTCCTCATATCAAAGACATGTATCACAATTTTGAAACCCAGTGTGGGTATGCATGGTGCTACACAAGGACAGGGGTGCCTGCTTGGCTCAGTCAGTAGAGCATGTCACTCTTGATCTCAGGGTTGTGAGTTTGAGCCCCATGTTGGGTGTACGGATTACATAAAAATAAAATAAAATCTTTTAAAAAAATATTAGCCAAAATACACAAGGACAGTGCTCACTTTGGCAGCACATACACTAGAATTGGAACGATACAGAGATTAGCATGGCCCCTGCACAAGGATGACACGTAAAATACACAAGGACAAAGTGCTTTCCTGAGTCACAGAGTAGGCCACATATAAGATAATCATATAATCACTGAAGGCTAAAAACCAAATACAAAATTATGTTTAAAATGTCCATAGCAAACCTGAGAAGATGGTTTTCCATTCTTCTTCTTCCTTTTTAGAAGAACATAGTATTTTGAGTTTACAACAGAGTCATCCAACCTTTTATTAACTCATTCATCAATAATTGGTTAAGACTGGGGCACCTGGGTGGCTCAGTCGTTAAGCATCTGCCTTCGGCTCAGGTCATGGTCCCAGGGTCCTGGGATCGAGCCCCGCATCGGGCTCCCTGCTACGCGACAAGCCTGTTTCTCCCTCTCCCACTCCCCCTGCTTGTGTTCCCTCTCTGTGTCTCTCTCTGTCAAATAAATTAAAAAATCTTTTAAAAAAAATTGGCTAAGACCTACTATGTGTTAACCACTAACTTATATTAAGAAACAAAGCTATATGAGAAACCTGTCTAAGAAAACACCATCAGGTAAAGGAAAAAAATATATATAAGTACCAAATATTGTAACAGAGGTTTAAACACAGTGCCTTGAAAAACAGAAGAGGGTTCAGAGAGATTTCACTCCACTCCATTCAGGAAGAGATGGATCTGTAGGAAACAGATCTCTACTATAAGAATCCCCATCCTATTATGGTAAATCAGAACAACCTTCTTAGAAGCCCCTCGGGGACAAGTGGGCTTACATACAACAACAATAAACATAGAACAAAGAATGCCAGCAGTTCCCACCATAATCCTGGCTCAAAGAGGACAGCATTGATAGAACCATGGGCAAACACACAAATGATGCCCCCGTGCTAAACCAGCTAGAGCTTTTTCTCTTGATACTAGGGGAAACACTCAAAAAGGGTATGGCAGCCGTATAAAGAAGTGCTATGGAACTCTCTTCTGACAAGGACCTTGTATTGTCAGTGATTGAGGCTTCCCTAGTAGGCTCTGCCCCCAGAGCCAGACTCCAGTCTTGAAGAACCATGATTGGTTTTGAAACACATTACCTATGAATAAGAATGAGGAATCTTCTTCAGCTACACAAAAATCTCTTAAAATTATATGGATTTCAGCTAGGTGATCCACAAATTTCTTGACATCAACTGGATTTGAATCATGATTTAAAAGAACTGATCCTGGCATCAACCTCCTACCCTATATTTTCAGCAAGTTAGTCGTGTTCTAGGAGCTGAGGCTAGGGTCCTGGCAGCAAATTTTGAGACCTATTTGGTCAGATACCTGTAGAAAGCCCAGAAGTATAAAAATGGATCCAATCATGGAGAAATTATAGTCTGATTAAGGGGGAAAACACAAGAAAAAAATCAAGTAGTAGTGTTATATTATATATATTATATATTATATATTCTAAGTGCCAAGGGAACATGACAAATGGAAAAAGAGAGAATCTGTATAAGAAACCAGTCTCAGAAGATCAGAAGATTTGTGTGTAAAGTATAAAATAAAGCAATGTGATGACATGTTTTCGCAGTTTAAAGCTTTACGTATTAATTTTGTGCTAAACTAACTTCTGCCTATAATATAGGCCTATAAATAAATGAAAAGAACTCTACCCCAGCAAATAGAAGAGCGATTGAAATATTCATGGTAAAATAAGAAAACCTTGAGAAAATGATCCTTAAAGATAAAACAGCTACAGTGGATAGTGAAGAAAAATTCCTTTAAAATCTTTAAACTTCAAAAAAATCCCAAATCTAATGTTTCCTTTTATGTTTCCTATATTTAAGAAATCACTGATTAAAAGCTCCATATATGAATTATTTATCATACATGCAAAGCTACATACATACCCACCAATACAGCTTACTTTATAGGCAGGAGTGTATCAGTAAATAATAAGGAGAGACAAAGCCTATAAATACAATGACAAAGCCTAAATACATTGAAATAGGTGCAGGACCACTTCCTGTTACTAGCGAGAGGAAAAAGGCAATGTGAAGTCATTCAAGCAGAATAATAAGTAAACCAAAGCCAGATCAAAGGAATACAGAAGAAAGGCTGAAACGTGAAGCTGAAATATTTATTTCCTTCAAAACATCATCCATGCCTTGTCCCTGGGCAGTTCAATATTTCAAAGTAGCTGGAGAATATTCTCACTTACATTCAACACTATGCACAAGTAGATCAAATTTTAAGTAGGCAAATTTTCTCTTTATTTACCAAACATAAATGCAATATTTATCATTGAGAGAAGTTTTTCTGCTTATCAGAAATGATTTTTAAATTATGTGAAATAAGGCGCCTGGGTGGCTCAGTCGTTAAGCGTCTGCCTTCCGCTCAGGTCATGATCCCAGGGTCCTGGGATCGAGTCCCACATCGGGCTCCCTGCTCGGTAGGAAGCCTGCTTCTCCCTCTCCCACTCCCCTTGCTTGTGTTCCTACTCTCGCTATCTCTCTCTCTGTCAAATAGATAAATAAAATCTTTATAAATACATAAATAAATAAATAAATTATGTGAAATAATTTTAAAGTCCTAATAGACACCTTTCAGTAGTTCCAGTGGATGAAGCTGCTACAAATTATAACATTCATGGTGTAACCATAATTTTTAATGCCTTCACAAATGATGAAATAGAGTAAACATTTATTGAGTGTTTATTATGCTCATTGGTTTAGAGCAGTTCCTGTACTATTTCATTTTTATACCGATAAGAAAATTATCATTTATTTTTTTTTCACCAATGAAATCAAGGAAGTTTAGAAGAGTTTAGTGATTTGCCCAACTATTTACAGAATCAATGGCAGAAGGAGAAATTAAAGCAGCCCATCTGACTTCAAAGTCCAAAGTCATTCTACTACAACTACATCATGCTATTTCTTTAAACCTGTATGTATGTATGTATGTATATGTGTGTATATATGTGTGTGTATATATATACATATATATAACTAAATCACCATTTGATGCTAATTGATTAAACTTACAAGTAGGTCCTTACTATTATTTATCCTCACACAACACAAATATTTGCCTATCAACCACTTTCAGAACATTTGAAAGCTAAAATATTTATCAAATATTTACTTAACACCTATTGTATCTGTGCTTGGTGCTAAAAATACAAAAATAATCAACATCCCTGCATCCAATATAGAAAAGAAGACAAACTCTACACTATTTTCAGTATGATAAAAGCCTCACAATAATATGAACATAATAATATGAGCCAAAAAGGACCAGAGGAATTCATTGTGCCTAGGGTAAAATAGAAAAGCTTCATAAAGGGCATGTCATTTGGTAAGATCATAACAAAGAATGTTAAAGAGGCGTAACATATACATATATATGTTTAACTATATATTAAAATGTAAATGTATATTAAAATACATATTTTTATTTGATTTGTAAAATATCTTTTATTTTCCTCCTTACCATCACACTTTCCATGAAAAGAGCAAATCTCCATCAGAAGATTCTTATTTATTTCAAGGGAAAGATGAACATGGTAGAGGTAAGAGATTTCTAAAGATAAAGTTTTATTTCAGATAAAATATGCAACCACTTCTGCTGATTATAAAAAGCACACACTCCAAGTGCGTAAAAGTGTGTTAGCTGAATTAATGTTAATTTTAAGAAACCAATCTTTATTTAGAAACATATTATCACCCATGTTTCACTGACCATTTCTCCCTACCTCATACTACATTTTTCCAAAGGCTCCGGTAGTTATCTCGTATGTGCTTAGCGATAAGTTCAGTCACTATTAATCTGCTACCCTGTGCTATTCATTAATTCATTTACCATTAATGTGTTAAGCACCCATTATGTGCCAGGCACCCTTGCTAGTGTTCAGAAAACATCAGTGAACTAATCACACCCAGTCCCACACTAAGGGAGCTTTCAGTCTAGCAAAGAAAAAAGGACACTGAATTAATACAAATGAGAACAATGAGGATTCAATTCAATGACAAAAAAAAGAAATACGGAATATTAAGGGTTTATATTACAGTGTTAAAAACTTTAAATAGGAATTAGGATGAAAGAAAGTGATGTTAAAGTTAACTGAATTTGTATGTCGATTATACTTCAATAGAAAATAATATTTTTTTAATGAAAAAAAGAAGTTAACTGAAGGATGAGGAGGACTGGATAAAAGAAAATGCAGGGTAAGAGTATTCCAGCACAAAGGATAACAAATGGAGAAGCTGCAAGAGAGAAGACTGTGGCTAAATCAGGGAAGAGAACAGGGGCCAAGATCACAAGGCAGGGAACAGAGAGAAAAGAGCCTGTGATAAGGCTGAGAAGTACCCTGTCATACTGAAACCTAGAGACAGAACTTTATAGCTTTGTAGAAAAACTACATTGTGTGAGATGAAGAACATAATGGATGGCATTATAGGCATTACTAAAGAAAAGTCTTTGTGAACTTGAAGACCTAGCAATGGAAACTAACCAAAACAAAGCACAGAAAAACAGAATAATAAAAAAACAAAGCATTGGTGACAACTGTCAGCAACCTAATATTTGTGTACTTAGAGTCCTTAAAGGAAAAGAAAGATGGGGACAGAAAAACATTTGCAGAAATTATGGCCAAAAGCTTTCCAAATTTAATTAAAATTATAAATCTACAGATCCAAGAACTCAAAAGAACTCCAGGCATAAGACAAATAAAACTACATGAAGGCACAACATAATCAATTTGTCCCAAAACCAGTGACAAAGAAAAAAAGAATTTTGAAAACAGCCAGTAAAAAGACAAGTCCAGAGGAATAAAAGTAAGGATAGCAGCAGATTCCTGGTAGAAGCAACACAAGCAAGAAGACAATGAAGCGACATCTTTAAATTGCTGACAGTTAAGTTGGAGCTATGCCATGAAGGCAAGAACAAATCAGTATTAGATAATCTAATAATACATTTAATAATGACTAGATTACCTAATCCCAAAATGATCAATAAAATTGATAATCCTCTAGCCAGACTGATTGGGAAAGAGAGACAATACAAATTAACAACATTACAAATGAGAGAGGTT